CTGGGACTCGAACCGGTGCCCCTATGGGATGCTGGTGCTGCAGGTGGCAGCTTTACATGCTGTGCCACAGCGCCAGCCCTGTAGATTGTGATTAGTGGACCTGAAACCCAGCCCTAACCCAACTGCAGCCCTGAGTGTAGCATGGATTCCCTGTCTTCCCTGCTTGCTTGTCAAGGGGAAGAAGGTTTTCTGGTAGATGACAATGTTGTGTGGAGTTTTAGCCATTCTTTTATAGCCACTTTCCAGCACACAGTAAAAAATTACTAGACACCCAAAGGCAAGACCGTGTGCCTGGAGTCAAGAGGGAAAAACACCCAGATAGTAGAAATGGAATCAGAGCTGATCCAGATGTGAGAGTTTAGCACCAAGGATTTTAAATTCACTATGATTCGTACAAGGGTACTTCAAAATGTTCATGAAAAAGTGGATACGTTTATGGGCCATCACTTGGCCTACTAGTTAAGACAGTGCTTAGCATGCTCACATCCCTCGATGCAGTGTCTGGATTCAACTCCCAGCTCTGGCTCCTGATTCCAGCACCCTGCAAGGTAGCAGCGATGGCTCAGTTGGGGTCCCTGCCACTCACATGGGAGACCTGGATTGAGTTCCTCGTTCCCGGGAATTAGGGGATACACCAGTTGATGGGAAGTCAGTCTCTTTCCAGGCCCCCCCCCCAACAAATACAATTTTGTATTAGCCACGGCTCACTTGGCTAATCCTCCACCTGCGGCACCGGTACTCCAGGTTCTAGTCCTGGTTGGGGCGCCGGATTCTGTCCTGGTTGCTCCTCTTCCAGTCCAGCTCTCTGCTGTGGTCCGGGAAGGCAGTGGAGGATGGCCCAAGTCCTTGGACCCTGCACCCGCATGGGAGACCAGGAGGAAGCACCTGGCTCCTGGCTTCAGATTGGCACAGCGTGCCGGCCGTGGCAGCCATTTGGGGGGTGAACCAACGGAAAAGGAAGACTTTTCTCTCTGTCTCTCTCTCTCTCTCTGTCTAACTCTGCCTGTCAAAAACAAAAAATATTGGACATCCCTTAAAAGTCTAGCACATGTGAGGTCAGAGTCGTGGAAGGAGAGATGAGAAGCAAGGTTTAGAGTGAATACCTGAGAATCTTCTGGAAACTGTCGAGTCCACAGAATAAGAAGCCGAATGAACCCCTAAACAGGATTTTGCTCTTAAAATCGTGAATCTACATGCATTGCACTCTGTTTGATCAAGCTAAGTTTGTAGCTTTGAATTCATCACCCACCCTCCTGTGCCTCTGTATCCTTGTATGTAAAGAGGGAGAGTAGATAAAAGAATATGAAAAAATGCCTTTGCAATGGTTAAGTTCTAAAGAAACGCCAGTTTAACGGCCCCTGGGGCGGCCTGTGTGGGGTGAGCTGGAGAGCTGTGCCCTGTGCTCTGGTCAGCCTCCATCCATTGCCCCCTGAGTTGGGGGGGGGGGGGGGGACTGAGCCAGGGCTGCAGGGCTGCGGGAAGACAGCAGCGAGACCCATAATGAGGATGCTGGTAATTGAAAAGCAACCAGGCTTGGCTTCCTGGGACTGTGCCATCCCTTCTGGTCCTGCCCCCAGCCTCCACCTTCCCTAGGTCTGCCTGGGGCTGATCCAGGGTCCCACTGTTTCCCCAAGACCAAATCGTGTTGGCCTGGACCGTCCATGGCTTAGCTCTGCACTGTCCATCCCCTGCCCCCATTTCTGAGAGGCGTCCAAGGACAGCAGGCGGATCCCTTTACTGTGTTGTATTCTGCGTTGCAGATGGAAAACGTTTGATAAAGCGTCTCCACTCGCACAGGCACTGATATTGGAGGAGAGGTAGAGAAAGGGAAAGGCCCTGGGCCGGCCGTGGAGGCTCCGAGCTCCTGGGTGGGGGAACAGGGCCTGGGGGCTGGGTGTGGAGCATTGCTGAGAGGTGGTGGGGAGGCGTGGTCCTCACTGTAGCACAGCTGGGTGGAGGCACCCCTGTGAGAGGTGGGGCCTGGAGGGAGGCAGTTAGGTCACTGGGACGCTGCCCCTGGAAGGGACGGCTGTGGTGCTGCAGTGAATATTCCTGGGGGGTGGGTTCTGGCTGCTGATCTTTGTCACCCCCCCCCCACCCCATGTGATTGCTCTGACGCCGTCATGGGGAGGCCCTCCCACTCTTGGACTGCAGCCTCCACAGTGGTGAACTAAATAAAGCCCCTTTGTTATAGTAACAGAAAAATAGATTAATCAAGAGGTGATCAGATTCACGGTCTTCATCAGGGATCCAGCGAAAAGCAACGTGGTGTAGAAGTTCAGAAAGTAGGGGCCTAGCAAGCATCCCATGTCGGTGCTGGTTCGAGTCCCGGCTGCTCTGCTTCCAGTCCAGCTCCCTGCTAGTGGCCTGGGAAAGTCCTTGGGCCCCTGCACCCAAGTGGGAGACCTGGAAGAAGCTCCTGACTTCGGGTCAGCCCAGCTCCGACTGTTGGCAGCCATTTGGGAAGTGAACCAGCAAATAAGATTCTCTCTCTGTCTGTCTCTCTCTGTCTCTCTCTCTCTCTCTAACTTGCCTTTAAAATAAATTAATAAATCTTTACAAGAAAAAAAAAAAAAAGAAGTTCAGAATGTAGGGTTTAGAGTCCAACCACCTGGGCTTTAGCCTGTGGACTCTGCTACATACCCCGTGTGTTACCTTGCTTGAAGCTTCCCTAAACCTTCATACTTCATTACCTCGTTGAGGTTTAAGTGAAATAATGTAAGTAAATCAGACACTCTGCCCAATAAGTAGCAGTTGCTGATACCCATATTCACTTCTAAAAATTATGTTATCATCAAGCTCAGGTCTCTTCTTGATCTGATGCCTCGTTGGCAAATTCAGTAGGCTCGTCATCCACACAGGGGTCTTCAAAAGTGTTTTATGAAAAAAAAGTGGGGTCGGCCCCATGGCATAGCAGGTAAAGCCACTGCCTTCAGTGCTGGCATCCCATATGGGCACCGGTTCGAGTCTCAGCTGCTCCACTTCCAATCCAGCTCTCTGCTGTGCCCTGGGAAAGCAGTAGAAGATGGCCAAGGTCCTTAGGCCCCTGCACCTGCGTGGGAGACCCGGAAGAAGCTCCTGGCTCCTGGCTTTGGATTGGCACGGCTCCAGCCATTGTGGCCAATTGGGGAGTGAACCAGCAGATGGAAGACCTCTGTCTCTCTCTTTCTCTGTGTGTGTGTGTGTGTGTGTGTGTGTGTGTAACTCTGACTTTCACGTAATAAATAAACCTTTTTTTTAAAAAAAAAGGAAGAAACTATGTGTGGACTTTAAAATATTTTTTCCTGGGGGCCAGTGTTGTGGTAGAGCGGATTAAGCTGCTGCTTGCAATGCCAGCCTTCCACATCGGAGCACTGTTCGAGTCCCGGCTGCCCCACTTCTGATCCAGCTCCCTGCTAATGTGCCTGAGAAAGCAGCGGAGGATGGCCCAAGTACCTGTGGCCCTGCCACCCATGTCAGAGACCCAAAGGGAATCCAAGGCTCCTGACTTCAGCCTGGACCAGCCTTGGTCATTGCAGCCATTGAGGGAGTGACCCAGCAGTTAGATCTCTCTCTCTCCCTCCCTCCCTCTTTCCCTCCCTCCCTCTCTCTCCCTCTCTCCCTCCTTCTATGTCATTCTGCCTGTCAAATAAATAAATAAATAACTCTTTTTTTTTACAAAATAAAAATATTTTTGTACCAAAATAAAGTTCTATTTTAAAAAAAGATTTATTTCTTTATTTGAAGGCAGAGTATCAGAGAGAGAGAGAAAGAGAGAGAGAGAGATTGTCCATTTGCTGGTTCATTCTTCAAATGGCCACAACAGCCAGGGTTGGGCCAGATGAAGCCAGGAGCCAGGAGCTTCACCCAGGTCTCCCACATGAGTGTTCAGCTGCTTTCCCAGGTGCATTAGCAGGGAGCTGGATGGGAAGTGGGGCAGCTGGGACTTGAACTGGCACCCATATGGGATGCCAGCACTGTACGCGGTGGCTTAACTGGCGCTGCCACAAAGCCAGCCCCTAAACTTATCTTTCAAGTTCCATTTTCCAGGAACATTTTGAAGTTCCCTTGTGTATGTATGAATCTATCTCGGTGGCTTTTATATCACTAGTGACAGCTGTTACTGCCTTTTATTATTCTAAAAAGAAGATAGATAGATAGATAGATAGATAGATTTATTTATTTATTTATTTATTTATTTGAAAGAGTTACAGAGAGAGAGGGAGAAAGAGAGCTTCCATCTGCTGGTTTACTCTCCAGATGTCCACAATGGCCAGGGCCGAGCCTGGACCTTCTTCCGGGTCTCCCATGTGGGTTGCAGGGGCCCAAGAACTTGGGCCACCTTCTGCTGCTTTTCCCAGGCCATAGCAGAGAGCTGGATTGGAAGTGGAGCAGCCGGGACTCGAACCAGCGCCCATATGGGATGCTGCCGCTGCAGCTGCCAGTTGCTTCGTTTTCCAAGGCAGCTTGTTCCACGTGGCTCTGCTCCTCCAGGACCTGCTGCCTCTCCTTCCCCACAACCCTTTGGGCCCAGGAGAGAGGTGACAGCTCATCCTAAGCTCCCACACTGTCCCTTGCAGCTCCCTTACACCTGTTCGGCCCTGTGTAATCAGGGCCTGTGAATTAACCCTCTACAAAGGATCTTCCTTGGAGAGGACCTTCTCGTGCCTGTTGGAAGCAGCAGGTGTCATTTGCCCGTGGAGCTTTTCAACAGTTTGAGCTGGACCCTGGGGCTCCGGGGGCTGGAACAGGCACGCGGTACAGTTTTCAGAGGATGCATAGCAGGGCCACCTTGGGGAAGTGCATAGCTTAGAAACCATAGGGTGTTGAGTAGGGACGTTTGCCCCTTGGTGACCAGGGAGATCTTATTTTCCACTGGGCATCTGTGAAGTCTCTCGAGCCCGCCCCTTCAAGTGGCTGAGAGTCCGACTCGGCGTGCGATGGCTTTGCTGCTGGAAGACGTACCCAGGGGTGCCTTTGGCGTGCGACTCACGGTTTGCCCTGTGGGCTCTCTCCTGCAGGTGATCATAAACAGCACCATCACACCCAATATGACCTTCACCAAGACGTCGCAGAAGTTCGGGCAGTGGGCCGACAGCAGAGCCAACACGGTGTTTGGTTTGGGGTTTTCCTCCGAGCAGCAGCTGACCAAGGTAACGTGGTCCCCGCCGTGGCTGGTGGCTGCTTGCCCAGGGGAGGGAGGCGTGGGGGCACTTGGTGAGCAGGGTTCCTTTCTGAATTCGATTTCACCCCCTCTGGCATCGCAGGGCTGCCAAACCAGGTGCCCTTTCAGAAATGCCAGGTCCTGAGCAAATTCAGCAGTCATGTGGAGAAGGGAAATCCATCTCCAAGTGTCACTGCATTGGCCGGGGCCTTGAGGTTGCAACACGAAGAAGCAATGGGGACAAGCATTCCTTCCTGCCCCGCCCCCGCCCCCACCAGCATCAGCCCCTGCCCCTGTGCCCAGCGGGGTCCACAGACACTCAGAGAGGGCAGTTTGTTTGTTGAGCTCAGCTCCGTTAGAATCGCAGGACTCCAAGCAGCAGGTGACCTTCCCCAGCGAGGGGTGGGTTATTCCCTGGTGCACCTGCCGATGTTGGCCGTGCGTCCTGGTGATAGGAGCTCACTTCGCTGTTGAGAGGTTCACGGTTTGTCCCCAGCAGCCAGCAGTGTTGGTGACTTGTTTGGAGGACCAGAGAGGGAGTAAGGGGAGGCACAGTGGGCGTCCCTCACCCCCTAGAGAGCCACACACAGGACTGTGTGTTGGTTTTCAAGGAAGAGATTCATGGCTTAGATTCGATTCTTCAAGGGGTCTAGGACACACCTTTGGGGGGGATTGAAAGGTGTTGGGAGCAGATCCTGGCTGATCACTGACCTAGGGAACCCCCAAGCACTGAGGGGGCGACCTGGTCACTCGGGAGCGGCCTCCTCTGGCAGTTTGTCGGGGGTAAAGGCCAGCTTTGGAGAGGGGAATTCCACGCAGGCTGGTGGGAGAGCCCTGTGTGGTACTCCAGGAAGTCGTGGGAAATGGAATTAAAAGAGAAGTGTAGGGGCGGCTTTGTGGTGCAGGGGGTTAAATGTTTACAATGCGCCAGTTTGAGTCCCAGCTGCTCTGCTTCTAGTCCAGCTCCCTGCTAATGCACCTGGGAGAGCAGAGGAGGGTGGCCCGAGTGCTTGGACCCCTGCCACCCAGGTGGGAGACCTGGAGGAAGCTCCTAGCTCCTGGCTTCAGCCTGGCCCAGCTCCAGCCATTGTGGCCATTTGGGGAGTGAAGGGGCCCAAGCATTTGGGCCATCTTCTGCTGCTTTCCCAGGCCGTAGCAGAGAGCTGGATGGGAAGTGGAGCAGCCAGGACTTGAACCGGCGCCCATAAGAGATGCCGGCACTGCAGGTGGAGGCTTTACCCACTACGCCCCGGCACCAGCTTCCCAGCTTTTCTTTTAATCTGAGAGACAGACACACACAGAGATCTCCCACCCTCCGGCTCACTCCCCAGACACCTGCAACAGCTGCGGCTGAACCGAGGCCAGAGCCAGGAACCAGGAACTCCATCCAGGTTTCTCACGTGGGTGGCAGGGACCCGAGAACCGGAGCCATCACCTGCTGCCTCCCAGGGTGCGCATTGGCAGGAAGCTGGAACTGGGAGCCGGAGCCAGGACTCGAACCCAGGCACTTGCTGTGGGATGTGGGCCTCTTAACTGCTGAGCTAAACGCCAGCCACTCCATACCCCTTGAGGTTCCCAGGGGGCAGCCCTGCCTGCCGCCTGCTTCGAAGAATTCTGTTTTGCTGTGAAGGGCGGGGACCTCTGAAGAGCATCTGTGTGGTGGCTCTGGTATTGCTTGGGCCCAGTAAGGTGGCCTGCGCCCCGTCTGTCTCACTGAGCATCCAGCTTGGGAGGCTGCTGGGGACCAGCCCGTGGGAGGCCTGATGTCTGGGCTTTAGCCTTTGGCCTCCAGTGGATTTTCAGCCCAGAAGGAAAATGATCAGGTTTGCATTGTGTGTGGGTCCTCGCCCTCCCCAGCGGGCAAGGCAGTGCAGGGCAGAGCCGAAAGAATGCCCCGGGGAGGGGAAGCAGGCACAGAGCTGGGGGCGGGCTGGGCGGGCTGGGCGATGCTGCCTTTTCCTGAGCTGGGGACGAGGACCGAGTGTGGTGAGGAGCAGAGGCTACCGTGTGCTGGTGAGGTGGACGAAGGGGTTGCTGGGACCTGTGTCTCAGGTGCGCGCTGGGAGTGCTGGGGCGGTGGCTGGCGGGGACCTGGTCGGGCCCGTCTCAGCGCTGTACCCTGGGTGCTGTCCGGGATGGCGTCCGAGCATCCCTGACCGCCTGCGGCCCAGGGTGCTCTCCAAAGCCCTGCCGGAACCCAAGTCACTGGGCAGGAGAAGGAGAAAGGTTCCTTTGGAAGGAATCGGAGGAAGGAGACCTCCAGGGGCAAACTGGAACGAGTCTCCTGTGTTTCGAAGGAGCCCAGAGACCCGGGGATCCGTGCCTGCTTCCCCGGGGCCCCCCCGTCCCTCTCCCAGACAGCGGGCAGCGTCCCGCCTGCCTCGCGGCTCAGGCTCCGCCCCTGCACCTGCTGAGGCTGATTTCTCAGAGAAGCCCTGGGCGTGTCCTTGGTCCAGAAGGCTTCACGGCCATGTTTCCCTCTGCGGATGAGTCGCCCAGCGCCCATTAGCCAGCAGCCGAGGACCGCGGCCCACGGGGAGCCCTGGGCGTGCCCGGGGCACAGGTGCGGCCCCTGTTCCTGCCTCCCAGCTGCCCGCCCACGGCCCCGGAGGGAAGGGCACGGTTTCATTTCCAAGGGTTTTCTCCCAGCTTCTCTGTCCTCCCCGCGGCCGGGAGGTAGATTCCAGGGGCTCACGGCCACGGCACTGTCACCACGGCCATGGCACTGTCACAGTCCCTTCCTGAAGAGAAGGCTTCCAGCCCTGCGTAGCCCGACCCAGGGGTCCACAGGGCCTCGGCCGCCCCCGCTGCGGGGGGACGGGGCATCCGCGCACTGAGGACTGCGGGGGACTTCTTTGTGTTCTCATGAAGGAAGCTTCCCAGAGTTCTGTGCGGTTGTAGGGACATCACCCTACTCCTGGTTTATGGACCAGTTGTTGTTGTTTTTTTTTTAATCTTATTTTTGAGAGGGGGGGAGAGAGAGAGAGAGACAGCGAAAGGTCTTCCTTTCACTGGTTCAGTCCCCAAATGCCTGTGGCAGCCAAGATAGGACCAAGCTAAAGTTCAGAGCCCAGAGCTCAGTCCGAGTCTCCCACACGGGTGGCAGGGACACAGCCAGTTGAGCCGTCTCCATGCCTCCCCGGGGCCACGTTAGCAGGAAGCTGAACTCGAGAGCAGAGCCAGGGCATGGACCCGGGCAGTCTGGCATGGACGTGGGCACTGCACCAAACTCCTGCCCCTCGTCTTTAAAACAGAGAACATTATGTATTCCCTTGGTATGTTGTATGGCTGTAAGTGGCAGAAAAAAACCGAGTCACAGTGGTTAAACAAACGGCTCATTCTTCTCAGGGGAAAGAGATGTGATGCTGGGTCTGAGGGTTCTTCATGTTTTGTTTGGTTTTTTGTCCTTTTAACGGCCTTTCCCTCATGATGGCAACACGGCGTCTCAAGCTCTATCCATCACATGTGCATTCCTCGTGAGAAGAAGGAGGTAGAGAAGGCTGATACCACCACACGTTCTTGGGCTCCCCCATTAGCCTTGGCTTCTTGGATTCCCTCACCCCACCCCACCCCCAAAACCTGAACACAGGGCATTGGGTTGCTGAGGTCAGCTTTTTCTCCAGACCCGTCCTGCTGCTGTCAAACGTGAGATCCTGTTAAGCTAAGAGAAAAGAAAAACTCGGTTTTGAATAAGCAAATGACGCTGTCTGTCCAAGTCTTCAGGAGCCAGATCCCCAAAAAGCCACAAACAAAATCAAGCAATGATAGGCAAATCATCTCCTGTTTTAAAAAAGAAAAGATACATTTATTTATTTGAAAGTCAGAGTTAGGGAGAGACAGAGAGAGATCTTCCATCGCTGGTTCACCCCCCCCCCCCCCCCCCAGATGGTGGCAATCGCCAGGGTTGGGCCAGACTGAAGCCAGGAGCCAGGAGCTTCTTCCAGGTCTCCCACGCAGGCGCAGGGGCCCAAGGACTTGGGCCATCTTCTACTGCTTTCCCAGGCCACAGCAGAGAGCTGGATTGGAAGTGGAGCAGCCGGGACTTGAACCAGCACCCATATGGGATGCCAGCCCCAACTGTTGTGGCCATTTGGGGAGTGAACCACTAGATGGAAGATCTCTCTCTCTCTCTCTCTCTCTCTCTCTCCCTCTCCCCTCTGCTCTCTCTCTCTGTAATTTTGCCTTTCAAATAAATAAATATTTAAAAAGAAAGAAGGGGATAAGGAAGGAAGAAGAGAAGAAACCAGGCATGGGCGGGGTTAAACACACCAGCGCGCCCCTCGGGGAACCGCGTGTGGCTAAGGTGAAGACCGCCGCTAGCAAGGGTGAATGTCATGTTGTGCTTTCAAGGGCAACTAGGATACGAGGCGTCCAACACCAGGCCATTAAAAAAAAACAATGAACTGTGGGACACGGGTGCCTTTGTACAGGTAGCCGCGTGTTTTGGGTGCCTGGCTGAGGGTGCTGGCGTGTGGGCTTACAGGGAGCCTGGCTCCTAAGCCCAGCTCTTCAAGCGTATGTGCTTGAGGGCGAGAGATCCGAGCGCCGAGGCTTGGAGGGGGATTTTTACCGCGGGGAGGGTCATTTGGTGCCCAAGAGGAAAGGGGGCTCTCTCTGCCCCCGCGCAGGGCCCTGCGTCCCCGCCCGGCCTCTTTGGCTTTTTCGTAGCCTACTGTTTGCACGCCGGGTTTTCCCAGCAGCGGGGTCCCTGGGCCCCGGCCGGCGCCCGCATCTGGCTCTTGCACTTGATGCAGATTTCCAAGTTGCCTCTCCGCGGGGCCGGGCCAGGACACCGCGCCACCCCAGAGGGATCCTTGGGCTTAGTGCTCGCTGCTTTACCAGGCGAGGAAAATGCCTCCTTATTTTGATCTGCATTTCCAGCCACGCCAAACGTTGTCGGGCGATGGTATTGTCTGTGAATCTTGCCATTTATCGCTTGGGGTTTTCATATTTTTCTTTTCGGTTTGCATCAACTCTTCCTGCGCTAAATATAACGGCCTTTTCCTGTTGCACCAGAAAAACTGCAGATAGATAGCTTCCCCAGCCTCTTGTTTCCCTTCTGGTTTAGGGTTTTCTTTTCTTTCTTTCTTTTTATATTCCAAAGCTTTAAATTGTTATGTACTCAAGTCTGTCACTTTCATGATTGTTTTTTACTTCTTCCAAGTTTAGAAAATTGTACTCCTACCCTTGCAGCACAAGCTTGATAAATGTCCCATTCTGTTTGCATCCAGATTTTTTTAAAAATTTAGTTGAAATGGGGAAGGGGGGAGAGGAAGAGGAGAGAGAGAGAGAGAGAGAGAGAGAGAGAGAGAGAGAGAGAGAGATGGAGATTCCATCCTCTAGTTCACTCCCCAAATGTCTGCAGCAACCCAGGCCAGGCAGGCCGGGCTAAAGCCGGGAGTCTGGAACTCCCTGCCGGTCTCCCACGTGGGTGGCAGCAGCGCAAGACCTTGAGCCATCACCTGCTGCCTCCCAGCCTGGGCAGTGGCGGGGAGCGCGCCCTGGGAGCGGAGCCAGGACTCCAAGCCGGGCACTGCAGCCTGGGCTGCTGGCGTCCCAGGGGGTGTCCCACTCAGTGCGCGAGATGCCTGCCCCAGATTCTTTCCAGGTTTGATGTTTTTTTAATGCCCCTTTAACTGATTGAAAATGTGCCAGGCGCTGCCTTGCGGTAGGGATTTCAGTTCCTTCTCCTCCCCAGTTTCCTGGAGTTGACCTCGGAGCTTCAGCGCCGCATAGCCTTTCTCATTCTGTCCTGGGCCCTTCATCATAAGCTGATTTCCTTAGTAACGGCTGGCTCTGTTCCATGGCCGGAGTCTACTAACAGCACATGCTTCACAATGGTTATTCAGTTACAACGTATCTGATAGGATTCTCCAACTCCATTACCTGATTTGCTGACATTTTCTTTGCAATTCCCGCCTGTTTCAATGGCAACCAGGCCCCTGCACACGGGAAGCAGGCTCGCCTCTGATCGGATTGTTCAGTTTCCTAGTGGGCGGGGCCGTGCAGGCCTGAGCCCAAAGCTCATGGGTCCTGGATCGCGCCTGTTGGTGCTTCTGCCAGGTTGGGGGTGGGCTGGGACCAGGGTGCTGGGGTCACCGGGGGCTGTGAATCCTCATAGCTGTCTGGTTGGGAAGACATCCGGGGAATGGCTTCAGCCCACCAAGCGGTAGGTGCTTAGCAGGAGCACAGAATTGCTCTCCCACTTAGCTGTCTTTCCTTGGGACACCTGCCTTACCTGTCGGTTCTCCGTCCACTGTGTGGGTCTCCGTCCACTGGGTTTGCCAGTTAAGATCGTGGCCTTGTCCGTGAGTATGAGCCTGAAATGGGTATGACTGCCCTGGGATTAAAAAAAAAAAAAAACTCTTATTCCAGAAATAGGAAAGCATTAAGAGCAGTGGGGCCGGGGCTGGGGCTGCGGCGCAGTGGGTTAAGCCGCTGCATCTCATACGGGAGCACCAGGTCTCAAGTCCCAGCTGCTCAGCTTCCGGTCCAGCTCCCTGCTGGGAAGGCAGTGGGCGATGGCCCCAGTGCTTGACCCCCTTCTCCCAGACAGGAGGCAAGGATGGAGTTCTGGGCTCTTGGCTTCAGCCTGGCCCAGCCCTGGCTGCTGTAGAGTGAGCCAGCAGATGAATGATCCATTCTCTCTCCCTCTCTCTCTCCTCTCTCTCCCCCACCCATTGCTCTGCCTTTCAAATAAGTAAATAAATCTTAAAAAAAAAAAATGGCAGAGGGCCTAGTATAATGAGCTCCCCCACACACAACCCTGTGATGACATCACTGTGACATCATCCCTATGATGTCACAGTTAACATTTGCCATGTGTCTTCGTCTATTTCACTGCTGTTGCGAAGGACTTTAAATTACGGTGACGTTTCACCCCAAATGGCATTCACCTCTTAAAGAAATGACATCTTCCAACATAACCACGAAGGTCGGTAGGGTTTCCAACAGGACCAATAATCGCCCGTTGACAACAGTCTCTGTTCAAATAGATTGCCCACTTGTGCCCCCGGAAGTTTTTGTAGTTGGCTGGTTTAAAACAGGACCCAGCTGGGAGCTCTGGGACTCTGGTTCCCTCCCCCTGACTCTTCAGGTCTTTTTCTGTATTGTGACATCGATTTATCAAGGTTCTTGGCTCTTTTCCGTAGGGATTTAGCTAAATTCCTTCAGTTGCTTTTGTATTAGTTACTGTTAACCTGAGGTCTTTGTTTTTACTTTCTTCGAAAGGCAGAGTGACAGAGAGAGGTCGTCCATCTGCTGATTCACTCCCCAAATGCCCACAACAGCTAGGGCTGGGTCAGGCTGAACCCAGAACTCCATCCGGTCTCCCACGGGGTGGCAGGGGCCCCGGCACTTGGGAGGTGTCACCTGCTGTCTTCGCAGGCACATCAGCAGGGAGATGGGCTGGAAGCAGAGGAGCTGAGACCACAGCCGATGCTTTGGGACGGGGTGCTGGCTGCACAGGGGTGGCTCGCCCTGCCGCACCGTCTGTGTCCCCTGCTTCATCGTCCAGCTGGCTTCAGCAGTGCAGACACTGGTCCTGACCTTGGCCCAAGGTTGTTTCTTGGGGAAAAAAAAATCCCTTGGGTTCATTGCTTTTTCATCTCAAATGAAGTTCGTCTGGGTGTACACGGAATTTATGAACTGAAAACGGATACGAAATGATGCCGAGAGCTCTAGCTGTCAGCCGTGAGGGAGGTTAATAATAAAAACCTGCGTAACCGCTGCCTGCGTTCAGTTTGCAGAGAAATTCCAGGAGGTGCGAGAAGCCGCCAGGCTGGCCCGAGACAAGTCCCAGGACAAGGTCGAGACCACGAGCAATCATTCCCAGGTGCGTCCTCTGCCTCCCCCGTCACGGAGCAGGGCTGCTTCAGTGGGAGGGCCCACAGCGAGCTGGACCGGGTGTGTTTTGATGAGACTCTTGAGTTTTTCAGGATGTGCTGTTGTGTTCTCGATAGAAAACAGTGAACGGGATTAGAGTGGCAGCATGTACCCCGCGCCCCAAGAGACACTGTGCTTAAATGCCAGTGGCGGCCGGTGCTGCGGCTCACTAGGCTAATCCTCCGCCTAGCGGCGCCGGCACACCGGGTTCTAGTCCCGGTCGGGGCACCGGATTCTGTCCCAGTTGCCCCTCTTCCAGGCCAGCTCTCTGCTGTGGCCAGGGAGTGCAGTGGAGGATGGCCCAGGTGCTTGGGCCCTGCACCCCATGGGAGACCAGGAGAAGCACCTGGCTCCTGCCTTCAGATCAGCGCAATGCGCCGGCCGCAGCACACCAGCCGCGGCAGCCACTGGAGGGTGAACCAACAGCAAAATGAAGACCTTTCTCTCTGTATCTCTCTCTCTCACTGTCCACTCTGCCTGTCAAAAAAAAAAAAAAAGAGTTCCAGTGAGACAGCCTGGTGCTCCCAGAGGGAGGAGGCAGGGCCGGAGGTGCCCAGGTCTGTCAGTCGCTGTTCCTGACCTTCAGGTGGGAGATTAAGTGGTTTAGGGGCTCCCGAAGGAAGCACCCGATGTCTGGCCTGAGTTATATGTCCAACACCTGCCCCACTGTGGGTTTATAGAAACAGATTAACAGAAGCTTCCCCAAATCTTTCTCAGTGATCATTAACACCATCTTATTATATACTTTTTTTATTAAAAAAAAAAAAAGATTGATTGATTGATTTTAATGGCAGAGTTACAAACACATAGAGAGAGAAACAGAGAGAAAGGTCTTCCATCCACTGGTTCACTCCCCAAATGGCCACAATGGCCAGAGCCAGGAGCCAGGAGCTTCTTCTGGGTCTCCCACCTGGGTGCAGGGGCCCAAGCACTTGGGACATCTTTCACTGCTTTCCCAGGCCACAGCAGAGAGCTGGATCAGAAGTGGAGCCCACATGGGATGCTGGCGCCACAGGTGGAGGCTTAACCAGCTATACCACAGTGCCGGCTGCATATATACTTTAATTCTAGAAATGATTACTGAGCAGTCTCTGAGGATCTGTACAGCTGGGTGCCACCACGGTCACCGTGGCCAGAGAGTCTCTAACACACCATCTTTCTCCAAGTGTCAACATATGTTGCTGATCTCTGTAAACCCTTATATCTGAATTTCTCTATGTGAGGTTTTCCTCTGAATATTTTTCCTTCCCAAAAGTATTTTTTTCTTAAATGAACCTCTCAGGGTTTTTGTTTGTTTGTTTGTTTGTTTTTGGTAAGGCTTATTTATTATTATTATTATTAATTTGAGAAGCAGAGTGACAAAGAGAGGAGGGGAGAGAGATCTATGTGCTGGTTCACTCCCCAAATGCCTGCAACAGCCAGGGCTGGGCCAGGCTGAAGCCAGGAACCCAGAACTCCAGCCAGGTCTCCCATGTGGGTGGCAGGAGTTCAAGTGCTCGGGCTGTCATCTGCTGCCCTCCAGGGTGCACGTTAGCAGGAATCTGGATAAGAAGTGGAGTAGCTCGTCCCGTCCCCCTGGTATGGCAGGCCAACATCCTAAACGCTGGCTTACCCCTCTGCACCACAGTGCCCTCCCCGCAGGTATTTTGAACCTTAACAAAATCAAGTCTACCTAACAGGATGTGAGTTTGAGGATAGGCAATACTTTTTGTCTCCAACCCTTGTCACTCTTTCTGGTACTTTCCCAGATCTAGAGATGATCACACAATTTTCTCTTTTTGTTAGAAATCACAACTGCTTGGTTTTCCCAAATCTCTTAGGGCACGAACACTTTGGCCAGTTTTCCAAAAAAAGTTGGAATTAGCCCAATTATAAAGCCACTCAGTGTGGTGTTTTTTGTGACTGCGAAGGGAACACTTGCTCGTTGTGAGAAGGAAAACATACCCCACTGCAGAGGAAGCGAAGGAGAGCCACCTGTTTCTCAGCACTCAAAGGCGTCGTGTTGGTATTTTGGAGTGTCACGTTCTAGTATGATTTTCCAGTATATTTTCAATGTTGTCTTTTTTTTAGAAAGGAGATTTTATTTATTTATTTATTTGAGTGGTAGAGTGTGAGAGAGAGACAGAGAGAGACAGAGAGAGAGAGGTCTTCCATCCACTGGTTCACTCCCCAAATGGCCACAAAAGCTGAGATCTGAAGCCAGGAGCCAGGAGCTTCTTCCTGGTCTCCCATGGGGTGCAGGGACCAAGCACGTGGGGGCATACTCGACTGTCCTCCAGGCACAGCAGAGAGCTGGACTGGAAGAGGGGCAGCAGGGACACAGCCCAGTGCGCATATGGGATGCTGGCAGCACAGGCCGAGGCTTAGCCCCCTGTGTCACGGCGCCAGCCCAGTGTTGCCCTTTTTAAACCATTAATGTTGTGATCAATTCCTCACAGTTTCAAAGATTCCTGTTCAAAACTGTTTTCAGGGCCAGCGCTGCGGCTCACTAGGGTAATCCTCTGCCTTGCGGCGCCGGCACACCGGGTTCTAGTCCCGGTCGGGGCGCCGGATTCTGTCCCGGTTGCCCCTCTTCCAGGCCAGCCCTCTGCTGTGGCCCGGGAGTGCAGTGGAGGATGGCCCAGGTGCTTGGGCCCTGCACCCCATGGGAGACCAGGAAAAGCACCTGGTCCTGGCTCCTGCCATCGGATCAGCGCGGTGCGCCAGCCGCAGCGCGCCGGCCATGGCAGCCATTGGAGGGTGAACCACCGGCAAAGGAAGACCTTTCTCTCTGTCTCTCTCTCTCACTGTCCACTCTGCCTGTCAAAAAACAAACAAACAAACAAACAAAAAAAAAAAACAAAAAAAACTATTTTCAGGCTAAACCGTACTCCGGAAGTGGTTCGTATCGGAGCTGTAATTTGGGGCACCTGCATTGTTTCTCCTTTGTGGTGTATATAAATAACACTGGAGTGCACCATAACACTGGGGTGCGCCATAACACTGGGGTGCACCTTCTCCACTTCTCCGTGCACCGAGTGGCTTCTGCTGGATACATTCTTGACCTGAAATCGCTGGGTTGAGGTCCAGACATTGGGAAGGATTTCATGCATACCTCAAACGTGGCCTGCAGAAATGTACAGCTCTAACTCCCACCAGCCTTTTAGAATGAGCCTTTTTCTTCTAAACCCTCATCAACAAAGCTCTGTTGATTTGACAGATTAAAAAAAAATGTATCTGATTGGAGATTTTTTTTTCCTTTTGTCTTTCTTTCTAGTGAGATGAAAATTTTCTGCTTATTGATTGGATTCATTGCTCCTTTTGTAGTATCAGTTGTCTATTGTCTCCTTTTGTTGCGAGATCATTCCTGCTTGACTGTGTTGATTCCTGAGAGCTTTGTTTTGTATCCTGAGACTTTCAGCCTACGCAGAACAAGGCGGAGTTACGTATATTGTACCATTGTGCTGAGCCTCCCTGTGCACGCGGGCCAGCCCTGAGGAGGAGGCAGCTGTGACCACCTGTTACGTCTTCCCTCCCCCGCCCCTCCTCGTGTTGGAAAGCAAATTCCATACACCTTGTCACTGCCTCCATCAATGTTTCCATGTGCTCTGACAGATGAGACCTCTGAGAGTTTTTTCAATCTAGGAAAGATACCAACATCTTGTTTCTTTAATATCTGCTGCCTATATTCCCTCCAGGTTTGTGTTTGCATTTTAATTTTGTATGGGAATTTTTATTTTTTTTTTTGCAATGTAAAAATTTAAAGTTAGTCAAATCGATGCCTCATGCTCTTCATGGTGCCTCCCTTTGCCTGCTGGAGGCTAACTAAGGGCTGAGTTCTTACTCAAGACCAGAAGAGGGTTCACCCCCTCGTGGAGTGACTGATTCTGGAAGTTTCCTTGGGTTTTTCAGAATAATGCTAAATAGCGATGGAACCAAGAAATCTCCTTCTCTGGTTCCTGGTTGTCAAATGAGTGTGTTGATCTGGCTCTCTGTAGCCGCAGGATATTTTTTTATAAGTTATTTATTTGAGAGCTAGGGAGAGAAACAGACAAGGCAGACAGAGCTCCTCTGTTTCACTCTGCAAATGCCCATAGTGGTTGGGGCCCAAGCCAGGGATACAGTTTGGTCTCCCATATGGGTGGCAGGAACCCAGTGACTTGAGCCATCACCGCTGCCTCCCAGGGTCTGCATCAGCAAGGAGCTGGAGTGGGGAGCCGGCTCGGAGCTGGGCGTGGAACCCAGGCACTCTGGTGTGGGATACTGGAGTCTTAGCCACTGCTCCACACACCTGGCCCAGCCCCAGGATTTCTCAGTGTTCTCAGCTTGTGCTGCTTTGTCCTCTGTCTCCCCTGCGGGTCCTGGTCCCTGGCTTGTATAACAGCTCCTCCTCCCGTCTCAGCCGTGACACCTGACATACCTGTGAGCCCGGGTTTCAGCAATGGTCCCAGGTGTGCTCTCTCCAGGCAGGTGCACAGACCAGATGCCCACCCCTCTGCCGGGGGTGGGGTGGGGGGGACTTTGGGTGCAGATGGTCTGTGTTGGTCTTCTCCAAGTGTTGGTCCCCGTGGGCTCTGGTTGGATGGGGTGGGGCGTCTGCACACATGACCTGTCGTCACTGCCTGGTGCCCTGCAGTAGAGGGCGAGCAGTAGCGTGTGGAGAGAATGCATTCGACCAGGGATCTGGCCGTGAAACCCCGTCTCCCACCCAGGCATCCAGCGTCAATGGGACGGACGACGAGAAGGCCTCTCACGCCGGGCCGGCAGACGCACACCTCAAGTCTGAGAATGACAAGTTGAAGATCGCGTTGACGCAGAGGTGAGGGGTGTTTAAAATCCATCCTGTCTTCCCCACTGCCCTGGGGTCTCCCTGCTGAGCAGGGACCAGGAAGTGGGGAGAGAAAACTGGGTACTACATGGAGCATCCCGTCTTGTCTCCTGGTCGATGCAGGCGCACCAGCTGCACGGCCCTGCTCTCTCTGACCATGCACGTGTGTGTCTGTGTGAGCATGACCTTGTTAGTGCAATAATGCTAGTGTGAGTGTTCATGTGAGAGTACTCGTGTGTGTGAGCATGTTCGTGTGAGCGTGCTAATGTGAGCACGTGTGAGTGGGTTCATGTGAGCACACGAGTGTGAGCAGGTTTATGTGAGTGTGCTCATGTGTGAACATGTTCATGTGCACACACTAGTGTGAGTGTGTTCTTGTGAGTGTGCTAATGTTAGCGTGCTACGTGAGCATGCTAATGTGTGAGCGTGTTCATGTGAGCACGCTACCGTGT